CCTTCCAATCTCTAACATTCTGTCATTCTTTACTGTGTACCACATAGCATTTCTAATTTTCTTTTCTTTATCTTGCAAGGCTAATGAATACTATCAATTTTTCTAGTATTTTAAATGTAAGAAATTTTGTTTATATCTTTGGGCAAGGGGTCTTGAGGTATAGTAGGGCAGAAAAGAAAAACAGTTGTTTGGTTTTTTTTAACCAAAGGCAAATTCTGCTGTAGTTTACCAAGTTTTGTTCATAAATTTATTTTTGTCTTGGAAAAAAAAGCAGTGTGTTCAGTCTGCTCAAAAATACAAACGTTATGTGAATGAACGGACCGATGCACAATTTCAATCAAATCTAGATGTCAAGGATGTAACAGATACATTTTGTGAAATAGAGCTTCTGTTTTTAATTAACCAGCTCTTAGTGACTGCTTGTGGGAGGGATTAATGAGTGCTGGTATTAGGTTTCTATAGACCCCAAAGAATCCACATGATGAGAATGAGTGCACCAACTACAGGGAAACTTTATTAGACACCAGAATCCATAAATCTCAAGTTTCCTATCAGTGGGAAGTTTGACTGTCCTTGTTCCAGATGGTCTGCAACTACAGCTTTTGATGTGAGAGAGGGAGTTGGTGTCCCTTTCTCCTCAAGTTAGAGGATGTGTGACTATAAAACATTGCCCTTCACAGCATGTATTCCCAGCCTTCCTTACCACCTTCTCTAATGCTCTTGCCTCATAATCTATCTAGTATCCTGGCTGTTATCTTCATCTTGGGATTTTTTTCGTCATACACAAATGTACATTCTTGAACATTCTATCTCATGCCAAAATCTTAACCTTTCCTAAGCAACCATATAGCCAAGACTCTCTAGGGTTTTGTTTAAGTTAGTGCATCAGCCTCTTGCCTAGCTTTGACACTGCTATCCATCCAGAATGAAGACTGCTACAAAACTGTGTTCTGTCCTTTTGACTTCATCATCCTGTGTTTACATGCCCCACTAGCTTCTGTTTTACACTTCTGATGCACTTCACAAACTGTCTCTGCCTAGTATTCTGTACAGACTGAGACTCTTCTATTTTGCAGCCTCTGCTGATCATTTATACCATTCCCAGGCAAAACCTTCATGCCTGGGAGACACTCCTTGTAAATACAAAACTTTGGGTTTTGTTGTAAAGATGCTCTGTGTTTTTGATTACTATGCAAAGCTAAAATCGGAGTTGTTAATAAACAGATCAAAGTAGAAAACCCCCCAGACAGTGTTGTTGCTGCTTAGTTTTTCATGCTTAAACACTTAGAGAACATCATATACATGACTGAGGAAGCATTTTTTTTGCTTCTCAGATCGTACAACGTATGTTAATGGAATAAAGTTTCAATGTAAGTAAGACCTTGCATAGGTATATGTCTGGATTTGTCTTGCTGCTCTTGGTCCTCTAGTTTAATATTCACAGGGATATGATGTCATGCAATTGGAGGCTCACTAGAGATTGCATTGATAATATTTGTCACTTGTTTTGCAGTGGCTCTGAATTATGGAATTTATAAACAAGACCTTCCTGCTCCTGAAGAGAAGCCACGGATAGTTGTGTTTGTTGATATGGGACATTCTGCATTTCAAGTATCGGCTTGTGCATTCAACAAGAGTAAACTAAAGGTAGTAAGATTAAATGAAAATAAAAATAAAAGATTTAATGAGACATTAGAATCAAATAGTCTGTAAACCTTTGTTTTTAAAATTCTGAAATAATTTAGTGTGTGGGAAGTGGCAAAGAGTTGAAAGGTAAAAGATTTTTATCAGCATCCTTAATTTAATGAGGATGGTTTCAAAGGCTGTAAATTCTTCGCAGTACACCAGTGTAAGATATACAATACAACTGCTACCATTTATTTTGTTTTATCTAAATGGATATATATATATATGGATTAAAATTGTGAATGCTTGGGATTGTCAGCTAGTTACTTAGTCTTACTTCCACTGTAAAAGTGAAGAGCATTTTTTGACTGATGTGGTTGATTGAAATACTTACGCCTGTGCATTGAATGATAGGCTGACTTTCCCCTGACTCTTTTTGAAGGAAAAGCTTGCTGATGTTGGAAGACTGCTATTTCCTTTGTTTCCTATTGAGCATAAGACTAAATTTTGTTCTTTTGAACCAGGTACTTGGCACAGCATTTGACCCTTTCCTAGGTGGAAGGAACTTTGATGGAAAGTTAGTGGATTACTTCTGTGCAGAAATAAAAGCAAAGTACAAACTGGATCCAAAAACAAAAGTTCGAGCTCTTCTTCGTCTGTATCAGGAATGTGAGAAGCTGAAGAAACTAATGAGTTCAAATAGCACAGACATTCCCCTAAATATTGAGTGTTTCATGAATGATACTGATGTATCGGGGAAAATGAACAGGTGGGTTCTATACAACACAGTTGGACAGTTGTTTTGGTAACTGTATTAGTGTCTCTTTCCATGTTTGAAAGAAACTTACTGTGCTAAAATCAAGTGCAAGTGCTGAATAGCTGTGGCATTTTTGTATGCTAGAATGACTAAGGCTGTGAAATGTAATGTTGAGCTACCTGAGCAGTGTTTCAGTGTAAATGCATGCATAAGAAGTTTAGATTATTTGTAGAATGACACATTCTTAAAAAAACAAAAGTGGACTGATGCATGCAAAGCACACCAGGAGGGGTTGGCTGCATATTTAGGCCTCCTGCAGATTTTATGTAACCTAAATCCCACACTGCTCTTCAACAATTGAATCTTTGTTCCTTTTTTTCTTGTTTTTACTGTATTGTGGATATTGGCAGAGGAATGGAGGACAAAAATGGTGCTTATGGGGGAATGACTTGATTATGGCCTGAGTGTAAATGAAGTCTGTCTGTCTCTTGCACATGCTCACAGGCACAACTTAATTTGTAGTCTCTGTTAGCCCTGTAACTGCTGCCAAGAGTGGGCTGCTGCTTCTCTTCCCTCCAGTATTTAGGCAACAGTTCTTCATTGTGAAGGAAGTACTAGTGTTTTCTATATTCTTATCTGTAATCTGTGCTGAAATATGTAACACCTGCCCCAGCAATACCTTTGTCTTATTTAACTGCATTGATAGCATCATAGGACAGTCTGTCAGCAGCTGTTCATGTACTACTGTGTCTATGGTTGTCACTTAGGCCTGCTCACGGGGATTAGCTTTAAGTCTCCTTGCAGTGTAGTTAACAAACCTGGTCAGTATCTGTTTGGAAACAAGAATACCAGGAAGTCTTCATGGTGGGACAGGCATTCTTTGGTTAACTCCTTTTCTTTCCTTAGGTCACAGTTTGAAGAATTGTGTGCTGACCTGCTCCAAAGGATAGAGATGCCTCTGCTTTCATTAATGGAACAAACACAACTGAAAGTGGAAGATGTGACTGCTGTAGAGATTGTGTTTCCTGCTGTCAAAGAGAGGATTGCTAAATTCTTTGGCAGAGATGTCAGTACTACACTGAATGCAGATGAAGCCATAGCTAGGGGCTGCGCTCTGCAGGTATAGTACTGGCAATGCTTGATAAACTTTGAGTTACACATTTCTTGAGAGCATTTTCTTGAGGATTTAGCCAAGCAGCTATGAGAAATGACAGAAGTGGTCCACTTCAAAGCACCCAGGGGAACATACATGTTCACTGGGTCTCTTTATGGGACTACGCTGTTTTTAAAAAGTCCACAGTACCTCTCTGTGGTGCAATACTTGAATGAAAGTGCTCATGCTGGGTGTATTCTGTAAGCAGTCCACTCTCCTCTTCAAAAGAGCAGGATATAAGGATCTCTAATGAGAAAAATTGAAGTTTCTGTCAAGTTGAAGGAAGATATACTTGTAATCAACAAAGTGTATGAGAAGTATCTATGGAGAGCCCAAAACACTACAAGTTTGCATTTTCTGGTGTCCAACTTTCAATCAATATGAAACAGACTTCTATCTCCCACCTGTTTTTACAGTTTCAAACTAGTGAACTATATTTTACAAGGAAACCAGTCATTCTTTCTCCTTTTCTCCTTTACTTATTCTCTTATTTCATCCCCTCTTCTTTGACTTATTTCTTTACCCCGTCTTGCTACTTGCTTTCCATCACTAACAATCAGTTGGCTCCAGGGAAAGAAGCAGGACCTGAAAGGTAAACACCACTACTTAGGACTAGGTAATGCAGCACTTCCATTCTTTACAGTCCTGGTATTCGTTTAGACTGTTTATCTTTTTTGACAAGCTATGGTAAGAATAAGATGCCAAGTCCCACTAACCCAAAGGGTAAAAACATTTCTGTATAAGATCTGTTTTCTTGTCATACTCCGTTGAAATCAAGCCATTTGCCTAGCTCTGTTTTAGTAAAGTCAGACCAGTTCTCTGTCTTGTTTAGAGGTGTTTAGCTGTCTTGGGTGGGTGGAGCAAAGCAGCTAACCAACTTTAATGCATGTCTTTTTTTTGTTTAGTGTGCAATTCTTTCTCCAGCTTTTAAAGTGAGAGAATTCTCTGTGACAGATGCTACACCATTCCCAATATCTCTGTTGTGGAACACAGAAGCAGAGGACACTGAAGGGTAGGTAGCTCAGACTACAGTTTTGTGGAGCTTTTGGCCTTTGTAATTCAAGGATGCTGTTCTTGGTTGCTTTGTAGGATCTTGGCATTCTGATGCAGAAAATCTGTAGGCCATGTGCCAGAGATGGTTGACAGTGTAGATTGTGTGAAGGCATGCACTGAAATTTTAAATGTAACTCCTCATATGTTAAAAAGTAAAGATTTTTTTAAAGTGTGATTGAATGAGCTACCAACCAATATGTTGTCTTGCATTGCTCTAATCCAGTTAAGTTTTGGAGTACAGAGTGAACTAAAACAACTGCTGGATCCTGACCCCACTTTCCTTTCTGGCTGTTTTTGCTCATAGTGTTTCTAACATGTATCTGGATTCTTGTTTTAGTAGGGACATTGTGTACTATGTAAATATAGTGAGCTTACATGGATGCTCTTTGGCTGAAAACAGAAGCAAGGATTTACCTCTTAAGAGTTTTGTAAGATAAATTTCTTGCAATTACAGTGTCTCAAGACTGACCTCTCTGCTATTAACTATACCATACCTGTGGGAAATGCAGGTGCTGTCTAGGATGTAAAGAGGTCTGAGTTTAGATGTGGGGAGTTTGAGTTCTACAAGGATCCGGTTCATACCTTTCTCATTCTTCATAATTCAGCCTTTTCTTTTTTGTCTGTCTTCTGTGGAAGATGCAGAAACTAATTGTTCTGTTGCATGCTTCTGAGAGCAACCTGTCAGTTCACGTTCTTGTCGAAGCTCTCGTTTTCTCACATTTAGGTTATTAGATGAGATCCTTCCATAGTTAGGAGATAGAACTTAGTTGGAAATTAGAGTCAGACTGGCATAATAGCAGACAGACACTAAAGGAAGAACATAAAATAAAGCTGGTTGTCTTTCTGTCATATCAAGGAATGAATAATAATCTGGTGGCAGGGTTCTTAACTGAGCCACAGAAAGTAAATGAGTAAGGAATTAACAGGGCTATGATTAGCCTTTTGAGACTGACTGAGGAAGGGTGCAAATTATGATTTAAATTATGCTTTTCCGACCTCAGAATAATGTCTTTGCAAGAAACAAATTTTTGAGTTCTGCTGATAGTCTGCTAAATTGCCACCTACATCTAAGCTTATTTGCTTCTGAGGCTCAAAATTAGTGGGACAGGACAATTTCCCATTACAGTACACAATAGTAACTTCTTTCCTTACAGTACAGTAATGAAGTTTTTCTTGGAGCTGGTCAGAAGGGTAAATATGTCAAAACATGATGTTTCTCTGAAGAGTTTTGACCCTAGATCAAAACATTTAATCTCAAATAGTCTAGTAAAAGTGATATTTTTCTCTTAATTATAGAGTTCATGAGGTCTTCAGCAGAAATCATGCAGCACCTTTCTCCAAGGTTCTTACATTCTATAGGAAAGGTCCATTTGAGTTGGAAGCTTTTTACTCTGATCCTAATGGAGTCCCATATCCCGAGTCAAGAATTGGTAAGTAATTGTCCCGGAAATGGTGTTGTCTCACATTGGTCTTAAATCGGTTCTGTAACTGTGTTGTGTTACAGTGTGTTTATATAACATTTAGTTTTTTGTGTCTGGAGGACTCAATTTTCAGTTCTGCCATTCCATCAGTAACAAAATTTGGATTTTTTTTTTTTTTACTTTTTATTACTTCTAAAGTTGTTTCTGTCCAGTGAAGAAATGATGGGAAACTATAGCTGAATGCTGAGAACTAGAATGGGGCTATCACTGCAAAAGATAATTTTAACTTTTTAAATCTTCTTTTTTGCTTTCTACTAAAGCAAGCTAGGAATACTTGAAAGATATCTCCGGTGTATAAAAACCACATCCTGAATAACTAGTTGATGTGTTTTTCTATACTTTCTGGATTTGACATAATGCTGACTAAGTTTTAATCAAGGCAGCCTGAAGTAGTGGCAGCTACAAGACTACAGTATTGATTTGAACTATCTAGGTAACATTTAAAAGTAGCTCCTTCATCCTGTTTGACAAGTTACAACATTGACAGTGTTGACACAGAGTTTACAATGTAGAAAAGATTGTGATGGTGAAGACACACCAATTAAATAATTGCTCTTGGGTTCTAAGCATGCGATTAAATGTTACATGTTTGCATGTATAATTAAGATAAAGCTATTGTTAGTAGTTAAGTAAATGCTTGTTTTTGTTAGAAAGCTCAAAAGGTAGAAAACTCAACTTTCATTGAGTGGTAGAAGTGACAAATCTTGGTTAAGTATTTGACAATGCAGCAGCTGTCCTGTTGGCTAACAATGCACTTAAAATACAGTATCACCAGAATTGTAGTATAAAAGATAAGCTTCATAAATATTCTAAAAATGGGTAGGAGAATATATAGGGCAAAAACATCTCCATTTGATTTACCAATATTTTAGCAAATATATAACGCACTGCAAAGTTAACAAGCTATTAGCCTAACGCAAAACATCAGTTATTTTCTCTACTTGAAAGTAAATTATGTGGTTGTTTCACTTGGAGTCACAAAGTTCAGATACCATATGTCTTAGAAACCATCACAATATTTTTAGTTACAGAAATAGTAGACGTCCTTTCATGTTAACTTCTACCATAAAGACTGATAGTGGGGTTTTGTGAGTGTTCGCTTTACATGGCTTTAACAAATGAGAAGATGTTTAACTGCTGTTCTGTGAGCTGGTGAGAACAGAACTGAAAATCAGACTGGTTTTCAGTTCACTTGCTGATCAACTCTCTGTTCAGAATGGGAGGACAGGTTGTAACTCTAGTACTATTGGATTTACAAGGGGGGGTTTACATTCTTTGGCCTGTAAAGTAAGCAGGAAAAAGCTTGTATGCATGTGGTTTAGATCTGTTGATGAAGGAATGGTGTGTGCAAGCATGTGTATATCCAGCCTGTGATGTAATCAGTGAACTTGCACTTTGCAGCTATACAAGCATGGTAATGTTGAGACCACTGTTTTGGTGATAAACATAACCATGTAGTAGGCAGGAAAAACATGTCTGGTCTTAATGTCCAGGAGATCTGATTGTTTATATACAGTTAAACTAGTTGTCTGTTTCTTAGTTTCACGATGCTTGTTTCAAAAAAAACCAACAATTACATTCTGTCTTGGAGTAAAAGGTAATAACAGACTTAGATGGATGTCAAGCTGAAAAGAATACTTCTGGAAATACTGTTTCTGTTTTGGGCAGTAATTTGTATTAAAAATACATACCACTTAACGCTGGTATTTGACTAAAACTTTGTGTTGTTTCTTTTCATCCTACTATAGCATCACAGATAGCACAAGTAAGGGGTACTGAGTTTTTACTTTTTGTGTTTATTCTATATTACTAGTGGCAGGAGAACCTACCATAGGTGATGAAAACATTCTCCCTTTTGATTTGTAAGGTAAAGTTGTCTGAAAAGCAGCATACTTTTTGTTTTTTGTATTATTCTTTTCATTTTTGGGGACCATCAGATGAAGACAGAGGCTTCATCAAATATTTAGAAAATGTGTCCTCTATGAAAGAGGGGGATGTTTTCCTGGCTCAGTATTATCTCCTTAATTCCACTGTGTGAGTATTTATTCCTTTTTTTAGGTAGGTATGTTATCCAGAATGTGGCAGCCCAGAAAGATGGAGAGAAGTCTAAAGTCAAAGTGAAAGTCCGTATCAATACTCATGGCATATTCAGTGTGTCCACTGCGTCCATGGTAGAACCAGTTAAAAGTGAAGATAGTGAAGATGTTGGTGTTGAGACTGAAGTGGAATGTCAGGACCAGAGGCCTGTTGAAAACTCCAGTGATGTAAGTTGACCTTTGTTTTGTGTGAATGTCCTTACTGATGAAAGTGTGTTCTGCTGTTTCTCTGGAAGGAAAATATTTTATTCTAAGGAAGCAAAATGAGGTTAATTTTGAGATGTGCATAGCTGTCAGGAGATACAATGTCTTTATAAGAACAGGAGAAAATTAGTGCTATCTTGAAAGTGTATGGACTTCAAAATCAATTAATAGGCAAAGTGCCAAATAGCAGCAGGTGGGTTGCTTGAGGGTGGGTTGTTTGCAGCTGCCATTGTTATCAGAGTGTTTTGAATAGGAAAACTTGGTTTGGATTATTAGTCATCTTTGCTACCTGTGTTAAAAGGATTTTTGTGTAGTCCTTTGTATTACAGTTTTGAAACTTTTGTGGAAGGGAAAGCTGGATTGTTTTCTACAGCATTGAAGGGGAGGGGAACACTGGGGAATAACAAAACACTGTTATGGTGAACTTGATGTTTTAATAGTTTTCTGAAGGGGAAAATACTTAAAAGCTATGACGCAGTAAATTTAAAGCCACTTTTTGTGAGAGAAAATGGTAGCATGTGCGCACACACACAAAGTATTATGCTGCAAGCCTGGCGCTGGTAGCATTTTCACTAAGTCTTTCTGAAGTTGCACCTAGGCTGTATCTCCGTTAGTTAAAGCGTGTGTGTTTCTGCGTGTGCACAGAATGCTCTGTAGGGCACTCTGTACAGTATGTGCGTCAGAAGTGAAGTGCCCTAGAACTTTTTAAAATAAGGTGCACATGCCTTCTACATCCTTTGTGCCTGGGCTTTCATTTCAGAAAAATATCCAGCAAGAGAACAGTGAGGCTGGAACACAGTCCCAGGTACAAACTGATGGTCAGCAAACGTCACAGTCTCCCCCTTCATCAGAACCTCCCTCTGAAGAAAACAAAATCCCAGATGTCAAGAAAGTGAGTGACCCTTTAACTCTGTTGAAAATGTTATGCTCTATAATAGTGGCATTTAAAATGGTAACATTCCAGGAAAAACTAAGGAACTTGATGCTCAGAACCTTCTTCATTTTTATACCTTTTCTATTGTGAAAAATAATGTATATATCTCATGATGATTTTTGTGAAGAGCTTGCAAAAGAATTCCTGCAAGAAGTCTTTCTCCACTGCTTCCCTGTCTTTATGCAGTGTTGTACAGCTGTTTTTTTTGGGTTGCAGACATTTAAATTTGTTTTTCAGCTGATAGAAGCCAAGCTTATTAGGCCTACTGAGAGAAGTTGGCGTAGGGAATTCATAAGCCTAAGAAGAAATAATCTATGTGAAAAGCATACACCTGCATGATGTTGCTAGTAGTTTGTTCTTTCTTCTGTATAAGACAAAAATGTTTTGGGTCAAAATCTTGCCACTGTCAGCACCACTAGTGGAGTGCTAAGCTACAGATGGGCACTTCTGGAAAAATTGCAAATACACTATATAGCTGAGAAAAGTCCTTCCTGTAGGTCAGTGCTTACTGTCCATGAAATAGAATGTAAGGAGACTAGCTTAGGAGGTGGCAACCCCAAAAGGAAAGTGCCTCAGAAGTATATTTTGAAGATTCTGAAAGAACACAGAAAATCTCTGTACATTCTTCCTGTGAATGTTTCTTTCATCATAGTGCTACTTCATCAGAAGGAAGTCAGGCAAATTATCTTATTTTTCTTCTCTCCAACTCAGACAAATGAGAAGAAAGGTGATCAGCCCCCAGAAGCTAAAAAACCCAAGATAAAAGTGAAGAATGTGGAACTACCTATTGAAGCTAACTTGGTTTGGCAGTTAGGAAAAGATCTCCTCAATATGTATATTGAAACAGAGGTGAGTTAGAGTGTGGTTTAGGCTGCTTTCTTGATTGCAGTTATTAACCATTCATCTGCTTTTTAAGGCAACCTTTGATCTTTTACTGTAACCTTGGAGTGTGGCCTCAAATAATTTACTGACTTTAACACTTAAATGAGAAATCAGAAAGATCTAAGTGTTGTTTATAGTGGTAGTATCAGAGCACTAATGCGTGGAATGACATCACAGATTGGTTTAAACTGTTGTAATCTAGAGAAATGCATCCTGTTTCTTCAGGTGAGTCCTGTTTCTTCAGGTGAGTCTCATGAGCAATGAGAATTACAGCAGTTACGTGACCCAAGGCCTCTGGGAGATTACTGTGTTTTACAGCAGCTGTGCTTTTTAGAATGCTGTTTGAACATAGGTATTGTCTCCTTATATTTTCTGTGGTTATCCAGGGGAAGATGATTATGCAAGATAAACTGGAGAAAGAAAGAAATGACGCAAAGAATGCAGTGGAGGAATATGTGTATGAGTTCCGGGACAAATTGTCTGGACCATATGAAAAGTTCGTTTGTGAAAAGGTGGGTTATGGTTTCAGCTTCTCTGAAAATACTGATCCCAAATAACTGTCCTGTATTCCTTGGTCAAGCTTTCTCATAGCCACCCTGGAAACAGGTGAAAAGTGTAACTCATTTGAATGATGGCTGGGACTGATCCAGAATTGGGTTCAGGCTTAATAAATAGTACATATCCCTGAAAATAAATTTAGTCACAAATGGACTAAAGGTTTGTTTCCAAATAAAGTTGGTGACTAGAAGGGGAGCTGTGTTGCTATATCCGTAATCGAAAACATGAATTAAAGCCCCACTCCAAGCATTAGCCTAGTCAAGGACAAAAGGCTATAAATGCTACCTATGTTGTAGATGCGTGTTTCCCAGTTCAGAATCTGGTGTGGTTTAATTTACTTAATTAGACAAAAGCTGCAGTAGAAATGTAATTTTTATATAGGAGGCTAAGAATTAATGTGCGTATTTACCAGTGACCTGTTACTGCAAGACAAACATAGTCAATTGGTGCATATTTTGATGTTTGACATGTTGAATTATATTGACATAGGATCTGCAGGGATTCTCTGCACTCTTAACAGAGACAGAAGGCTGGCTGTATGAAGAGGGTGAGGATGAAGCTAAGCAGGTGTACGTAGACAAATTACAGGATTTAAAGGTAGGTCTGTTAATATGCCCAAAAATGTGAAATTTCCAAAATACTGCGTAAAACAATATGAATATTGTTAATGAATATTATTGAGTCACATAACACATAGGAATTTATTTTTCTAGAAATTAGGTACTCCAATTGAAATGCGCTATCAAGAAGCAGAAGAACGACCAAAGCTGTTAGAAGAACTGGGACATAGGCTCCGCTATTATGCTACAATAGCTGGGGAATTCAGGAATAAAGTAAGTGGCCTCAAAGTACCTTTCTTTTAACACACATTGTTTCACTGAGGCTCACCAGCTGGTAGATGCTTCAAATTCACTCTCAGATGAGCAGCAATCTGCTGTCATATAGGTCACAAATTTAACACCACAAATGTTTCCCAGTACTCAAAAAACCTTGCATAGTGCGTCATATCTTCAGTTCCTTGATATTTAGATATGTTTTCAGGCCAAAAAGGACGTGCTTACAAAGAGTGAGGGTTAGACTGTGGTCTGATTCTTGACCTTCTAAAAGCTAATCTGAGGTTTTTTTAGAAGCATGCTCTTCTTCCAGTTCTTTTGGGAACAAGAATTGTGCCATTGAAGCATTAGTGTAAAAGCTGCGCACTCTTTACTCTAAACTCTAAAACATCCAGCTTTTTTATTATATATGGTTTTTTGCTGTTGATATTTGAAGATTACTTTCTTGATATCTGCCTTTGAAAATGTACTCCTTGGATTTCAGCTTAATGAGTTCTAATAGGGCAGCTCACAACACTCAAGCTAATTCAGTTTGAGATTGAGACTTGCATCGGAAACAATTATGTCCTCACAGCTATAGATTATGAAATTGTTGTTACTAAGTGAAGTCATTTGGTAGTGTTACACAGTCTTGAAATAGCTATCTTCATTGAAAATATACATTTAGGACCGGAATCTATATTTAGAATACTTAACAAAAATCATAGGTTGTGGTGCTTCTCCTGATACATTAGTTGTGTATCTGTGACATTGTAGGGAATACTCCTAAAGTTGAATAACCTTGATCCTTTCCCTTTCTGTGTAGAGCAGAATCGCACAGTCTTAACTACCTTGGGCCAATATAAGGCTCTTCCAGGAGGGAGGGGATGGTTTTTTATCAAGCCTGTTAATGTTATCTTTTATTGCATGACCTGTTTGTGAAGCCTCTGTTTCCTCAGTGAACTAGGCTGCTTGTTTGATTATTGGGCAAAGGAAGCTTTGTTTTGACATCTATATTTCCGGTTGTCTCTTGCTGTAACAGATATGGCTTGTTGACAACTTATTTTTTTTTTAAATTAGTAAAGATTGTAAATAATTGGTATAGTCTTGTTGGCAAAACTTGATGACAGTAAACTTGACACTAACTAACACAATGTTTGTATTTGGGCAGGATGAGAAATACATCCATATTGATGAAATGGAAATGATGAAAGTAGAGAAGTGTGTTAGTGAAGTGGTAGAGTGGATGAATAATGCTGTGAGTGCACAGGCTAAGAAGAGCTTAGATCAGGATCCAGCAGTGCATTCAAGTGAAATTAAGGCAAAGCTACAGGTAAGTACCATGAGAAATTAATATTAGAGGCTAGTGCTAATGCTGGAGTGATATGTCCCCCTTCCTCTCCCCCAGTTTCATCTTACTGCACCAATATTCTTAAAGGGTAGTTAAAAGTGTGGACAAAAGGAGAGTGAGTAGAAAGCAGAGGAGCTGTACTGTATGTTAAGTTGAAGCACTTTGCCCACAGAACTTCAGAAAGTAGGCCAGTTAGTTTATTTCAGAGTAGAATAAGTAGTTGTCGGTTTGGACTGGGGAAACAAATACAGAATAAAGTTTCAAATAGTCTTTTGAGCACAGGACTCTCAACACTAGTGAAGCTGGTGGGTCCTTTAGATATTCTGACCACATTTTTTCCCTTTCTTTTAGGAGTTAAATAATGTCTGTGACCCTGTTGTGACACAACCAAAACCAAAAGTCGACTCTCCTAAGGAAGAAAACCCATTAAATGAACGGAATGATTATAAAACTGAAGACATGGGAGAAGATGACAAAAATTCTGAAATGCCTCAACAAAATGGCGAATGTCATCCAAGTGATGAAAACACCATCAGCATGGACTTGGACTAAACCACTGCACCTGCAGCAAGTTTTCATCCCATGACAGAAGATATTTTTGCTGTTGTATGTGATGGGGGGGGTGGGAATGCATTGTTTTGGGAGCTATTTATATTTTTTTCTTAGGACTTGTCTGGGATATGTCATGTTATGGGAGGAAAAATAGTAGTAGTGTCAGTCATGACTATCCTAAAAGGAAAATTGCCTTGGTAACTTTCAGATTCCTGTGGAATTGAGTTCATACTAAGCTTCTGTGCAGTATTTAACCACTTGCATCACTAAAGATGAAAAGATGCCCTTGCTCTGAAATATACTGCTCCTTCAAAAGGTGGTAATCAAAACCTTCGTAGGCATTTGTAGATGCCAAGGTAGTTTTCTTTCGTCTGGACATCTAATTGGGTATGTCAATAAAAAGCCAGTGTCTGTCCCATTCATAAGGATTTTCCAGAAGAAATCCTTCTGTTCCAAGGTTTTGGATTATTGCAGTCCAAAGCACTTACCAGATAAGATGGTGAAATGTGTTAGCAGCATGCAGAAACGCTTACATTTCATCTTTTGCTAAACAATGTTTTTCATGTGGGGTACATAAAATGGAGGAAATGCTAATTCTGATAGTGTTATTGTGAAGCTTTTTAATGAGCTTTAAAATAAAGTTCATCTTCAGTATCTACTGACTTGCTGACTTTTGCTGCTTTCAGTACTTCTGGTGTGTTACCCTTTTAATGGTTTGTGACAGGTCATTGCTTTATGTTCCTCTGCACTAGAGTCCCAAAAAGGCTTAAAACAATTCTCACACTTGGCACAGAAGAGTTGTGCAGTGAGTTGAATTTTTTTTGCTGAACCAGTTATGCGTCTGTTTTCTTTGACCCAAGGGTTGTATGCACCTGAAAACCTGGAAACTTCACAGATTACAAGGCCTAGGCCAAAACTTGTAATACATGGAACCCTATAGTTTTAGAGACAATCTGCAGTTCAGAATAAGATGTTAAAACTTAAGTATTTGTCACAGGCTCTGCTGCTTTTTGTTACAGACTAAGCTGAAATGGTAAAATGATATTTCAGCCCATTATGCTGAGCAAGTGGCTCTGGTTAGACCTTGGTAAAGGTTTTAAAAATTAAGAGTTCCTCAAGTGAATCTTTGTAGTTTATTGAAGAAGCATGGTTTTAGGCACTTGGAGCAGAGGAGGATGCTGAAATAGGGTGTTTGTATCCGCTGCTTTAGACATCACACTGCATGAGGGAATCGGGCACCTGATGTACTGAGGGAACGGTTTTTCTTGGAAGCATCTTCTGAAAGGTGTTATCTCTACTGATGCATTGGAGCATAGACCCCATATGTAAGTATATGACACCAGATACTGGAAGATGAGTGTCACTAAATGCGAATTTTAAAAAAAAGTTAGTGTGGCTCCAGTAGTATTTTGTCTGCAACAACAAAACCGAAAGCAGAGAAGATAAATTTTTCCCATTGAAACTGCTCAAGAGGGAGTACAGGTGAGAAGACTGGTGCTTTCTAGGGCCAACTGATCTTACTACTAATGCCTAGTGTTTTTCTTCTAGTTGGTGCTTTTAGCAGCACCTTAAGTCTTCTCACAGCCAGGGGCACAGCGTGCGGATTCCCACACTAGTACCCCACTTTCTGCATTTGACTATAAGCAACTGGATTATCAAAATGCAGATACAGGTTACCAGCTTTTGAGCTGCTTGTTCTTTACCTCTGCTGATCCTTTAGATAACTGTGTACAGTAGGCAACACTACTTTGTTCCCCATCCTTTTCCTAAAGCTGAAGAGTAGGAGGTCAGATCAGACTTCAAAACCATGTTTGGAGTGTGGGAGAGTACTTCTGCATTGGTACCTGTAGGGTGGTAGCATCAAGGACTAAGTTTTTGTAACAGCCTACTGCTTGCTTAGATTACTGCTGATACAGAAGTTATGGTTCTAGCACCACAGAGGATGTGAACTTATATTGCAAACTCAATAGGATGCTGTAGCAGGAAGTTTAGCTTGATCAGAGGAAGACTTTCTGTAGAGACATTTAAAGTAGAATTCAGTTAGAACTTCTAGTCCTGCATCTACCAAAAGAAGCTTTGCTGGCCCTGGAGTGATGGATTGTCATGTGTTCAGTTACCTCTACAGAAGAAGGTACTGCTGTGATTTTCTTTTAATGAACCTTTATAAAAAGTCTGTACTGAGAACAGACAAATCTGGGTTTTCTCAGATTCCTGGGACATTAACTATTTCATAGGAGCTACTGGTGGGGTAAGACATTGATCACTTACGATTAAGTCACTTGTTTAAATTCTTGCGGTGCTTGTGCTTTAACCTGAGGTGGTGAGAAAATGAAAGTAGAAATGAGTGATTCAACTTTTCCTCCTCTCCCCTCCCCGCAATTAAATGAATTTCTTACTTTCTGATTTGGCTTTTAGCAGACGTGTGAAAATCATGGGTGTTTTTTCCCCTTTGATCTCAGTATCAGTTGTAGGGAGGTGAGGATGTTCAGGATGGCAGTTTCCTTCATGCTGTAACACACCAGAAGAACAGGCACCAGTGCAAGGCTCCTGTATGCGCACCTCTTGTATGCACACTGCTGTGACTGGGCTATGTCAGTGTTAGGGGGTAATGGAGAGGCAACACATCTGAGACAATCTACTTGTGATTGTTGCACCCTCAAACTCAGGCGGGCAAGTGTTTCTGGTACACTATGTTATGCTCTTACACACAGAAGAGATGTCTCTTACAAGGCATAGAATGCTGGCCAGCTTAATCTTACCGGCATGAAGGTGTAATGGCCTTATTTTGTTACTGAGTAAATATTGCACAAGGTTCTTTTTTTTTTTTTTTTCTTCCAAAAGAAGAGAACTTGATTACTCTAAAACAAGCTTTTTAAATTCTTTTGATGGAGTATTTTGGATAGTGTGTGTTAAGTCATTACATTTGCTTATAATGTGTCTCTTAAGTTGCTGATTTTAACAAAGTCTTCACAACTGTTCTGCTGTAGTGGTATTTCTAATAGGGAGAATTTACACCAGTATCATGTATTTGTATTTTTGAGGTATGGTTTTCTTAAGCTGTGTTCTGACATTCCTTGAACTCCACTTCTTTTGAAGACCCTAGAAAAGTGTCTAATAAATACAAACACTTATTTCTTATTGATAAATCTGTGTGAAGTATACAAGGAGGTCAAATTCCCACCCACCAAAAATGTTTAAGGATGTGAGTGGAAAACAGTCAAAAAGCACTTACTCAAACTGCCATACTGGGTCATCTTTGATCTTAGTTACATATAAAAATATTCCTTAACTGCCATTATCTTGCTGACGTAACAATCCTTATGAATTAACTCTATCTTTAAAATAAGTTTGTAAGCTCACAATGCACATCAAGTTGCCTGCCTGAAACATACTTCTGTAATTCTGAATTTTAGACGGTTCAAGCTTATGTAAAATACATGACTTACGAGAACTGTTGTCTTTTACTTTGCCATTACCTTTTTTTTAAAAATTGTGAAATTATGCTTAAAATCGAATTTTTAAGTATTTTAAGCCACTAAGAGCTTAGAACTACAAAAAGGTAAGGACAAAGTAAATAATAAAAAGGTAAAATCTTAAATTTACTTTTATCTACTGTATAACCTCTCTCATAAAGGTTTGATCTAGAGTGTCTTGATGGACTAAGTGTATAGACAGACTACTATAAAGTTCAAGTGATGCATTTTAACACTTGGCCAAGTATCTTGCCCCTCAATGAAATGCTCCTTTTATTATTTACTGCTTCTCTTATTTTTACGATAGGTTTTACTTTTTTCACAGATGTACGTGATGAAAATTATGGAGCCAAACTAAGATAGTCTCTCTGGAATACCAAATATACTTTCTGCGTATATTATGAAGTTTTCATTTATCAGATGGTAGTCTGATACATCTTTCACTGAATTTCGTTCTTTTGTTCCTTGGCCTGTTGTAGGAAATGCAAAGACATGCCCTAAGTGCATCATCTTATTTCCATCGCTCGTTTCACTGGAGGAGGCAAAGTGCAGGCTCTGGAGATCTTGCACTTTGCACAAGAAAAAGCGGTTGCCTGTGACTCGGGCACAGGTTGCCCTTGAGCTTTGGGTTGCTGATCTGAGTTGACAACTTGCAGGACAGAAGATCTTCCTTGGAGCACTAGGAGAACAGGCAGGGTTTGCAGGTGTATTGGTATTTCACAGGGAACCCAGTGGAAATCTCCCAAGGCTCAGCCTGGTCAAAGGTCCTGGGGCAGGCGGGGAGGGAGGAAGGGAAGGTAACCGTGTGAAGAGGTGCACAAAGAGGTCTCATCTCAAAGCTCAGGGTAATACCAGCTGTAAAAGTGGTAGGAAGTCTTCAGTTACCTTCTGGGGAGAGGAGAAGCAGAAAGCGGGATCACAACAGACACAACAGCTCTAACAGAAAAATGTGTCACTGTTCTAGCCAGGCTATAAAGGAAGGAGGGACTTCTGAAGCGTTGCTAGGACTGATCTCTGCTCTTGGCTCTTTATTCATGGGAGTTAGGGCTACTGGTTCTCTTAACTCGGTAGGTGAGGATACTGGACTGTCAGGTGAGTTACTAGATTTTGAAGTTGATTTAACTTCTCTGTTACAGCTGAGCACCTGATTACCAGGGTATCTACTGCTCTGGTACAGATAATGTTTGTGTCCTACACATATATTTCTGTATTTTGTATCTCCCTGTGATTAAGGCATAGCAGAGCTCTTTGAAAAATATTCCAAAAATAAATAGATACATGTTTATGTAATCTTCCATGTCAGATTTTATTTATTCCATGGACCTTGATCAATCTCCCAAACCGGTATTGATTTCAGTGGATGTTAATTCAGATAGTTTTCAGCTGACTTTCAAAAGTGGGGAAGGAGACAAAACTGCATAGAAGAAAATAGGATTGAAGCATGAAATTGACACACTTTTTTTGTTGCTGTTAAAAAAGTGTAACTGGCATAATAAAACCTGACTATCTGCATCTTTAGGGTTTGAAGTGTCTTAAAAGCTGGCCTTTAGTTCTTCTATCTGAAAGAAGTAAATTTGAAATACTGTTTGACCATGTTCTTCCTCCTTGGAACATAGCATCGATATGAGAAAATAGAAGAAGCCCAAAGGCATTCCCTGGGGAATGAACAAACCCCATCCTGCCACTCAAATGCAGCCCCTAGTCATTTAAAATACTGATGAAGACTAAAACAGAAGATGCAAGCCAGAGAAGCATAGGTCTAAACACTAACTGCAGTCTGTGAATCTATGCTGTGGCAGCTCATCCACCCACGGCTCCAGCAGTACAGTGGTTAGGAAAGGCCACATTGGCTTCTTGCAGATATTTCTCCCCTGTGCATCTGCTGTGTGCCATTCGCGTGATTAGCTGTTAGTGTTACTCACCCGTGCATTCCCCAGCCAGACTCCAGAGACGAGCTGTGCCATCTGTAGGCGAGGACAGCAGGACTCTGTCTTCATCCCTCACCTCTGATCCATCAAAGCAGAGGCCGACAGCACGTAGGTGTGCAGGTGCCTACCAGGAAACCTGTGACAGCGTTGCTGACTTACACTGTCTGTTGTTAGCCCCTACTGTAAGCAATGGCAGGTAGACTGACTTCAGTGTATGGATGCTCATCCCTCCTGGGATCTTGCTAGAGGACAGGAAGGAGAGGGATCCTCCAAAGAGAGATTTAGAA